TTTTCTTCTGCGTCCCCCCCCCCCCCCCCCCCCCCGTTTTGGTTTTTCGAGACAGGGTTTCTCTATGTAACAGCTCTGCCCTGGGACTCACTCCGTAGACCAGGTTGACCTTGAGCTCCCAGAGATCTGACTACCTCTGCCTCCTCGAGTGCTGAGATTTGGGATTAAAGGCGTGCTCTACCACTGATCAGTTGGTAACTGGATGTCTTAAGGTTGGTGTTCTCATAACCTTAGGCCACTCCTCCTCCATTTCATCATGCAATGGTGCAGTAGTTCCTGTTTGTGTGTGAATATTTTTCTTATTTTCATTAATAGGTCTTTCTAAGGCTTGTATCCTATCAATCAAATTATATTTGGCCCAATTATCAGACCACTTTGACAATAGTAATCGCCAAACTGATAGTAATTACGGTCAACATTATGTCAATCCCAGTTAGGTCATTTATCCCCTCAATGAAATTTTCCATCAAACGATCCACAGTAGCACTGACAGGGTCCTAGCACCCTGCATTGTGATGTTTTCCATTTCTAATGTGGGAAAGATCTCCCCTAGAGGGTTTCTCTGGTATCTAACCAAATCTGCTGACTTTTCTGTTTGTCTGCTGTGTCAAGCCCCGCCCTCCCTTTCCAAATGTAAGCCTGTTTTTTGGAGTCCCGACAAGCATCAGCTCTCTGCTGTAAATGCTTGGGCAGAGAGGCCCAGATCACAGCTGCAGCAGATCTGGCTGGCATGACCCCCTCCCCCCAGCCTGTCTGGTCTTGCCATGCATCGGAGCCCCAAAACGCAGCTTTGCTTTCACTGCAGTGGCTGTGCTTTAAACTGGCGGCCTGGCCACTGGGACTGTAGCCTGGCTTGAGTTCTCTTCCCCAGACAGTGACTCTGTAGCTGTAGCTACATCTCTATTGTTCTGATTCAAAGGCCAGAAAACCTGCAAGCTCAGAGAGTTGGAGTAGCAACTGGCTGACTTTCTCTCTCAGCTGGCATCCCGGGAACCTCTCTCCTTCCACACTGCCCAACTAAAAAAACCCACGCTAAGTTCCTCTCTGCTACCCCTGTCAACAAATTGCTAACCCCGCCTGAATCCAGACTAATTTTATTTAATGAATTCAAATGCAGCATATCTTTACATAGTTAACAAGAGCAGCATAAACAAATATAACACATCTTTGCCTACTTAAACAAATATTCCAAAACAGCTGTGTGTGTGTGTGTGTGAGTGCGTGTGTGTGTGCGTGCGTGTGTGACTGTGTGTGTGTGTGAAATAAACCTGGAGTAAGGCTGTGAAGGTAGATTCTTCAAGTACAAATATTCTGGTTCCGACTTGACCTTGCTCTGACACAAGTTGAAATACAGGCTGAGCGATGAGCTTGTCTTTCTAGTCAGGTCTTTTACCGGCAACTCAAACACTCAGCTCCCACCCTCCGCCACACTTTGGCCATCTTCTTCCTTTAGGTTCAAATACTAAACTGGGAGTTCGAGCCGGGCGATGGTGGCGCACGCCTTTAATCCCAGCACTTGGGAGGCAGAGGCAGGCAGATCTCTGTGAGTTCGAGACCAGCCTGGTCTACAGAGCTAGTTCCAGGACAGGCTCCAAAGCCACAGAGAAACCCTGTCTCGAAAAACCAAAAAATAAAAAAAAATAAAATAAAATGGGAGTTCGAACCTGAGCTGATGAAAATATGCCCAGCAATACCGCTGCCTTTGCCCTCCTCCCCAAGCCCTGCCCAGCTTTTAACATGACCAATCTTCGTTATTGGGCTGTTGGACATCAAAACTAGGGCCTCATGTATGCCAGGCAAGTGTTCTTCTGCTGAGCGGTCCTGTGTCAGGTTTTACAGAGCTGCCAAAGCTAAAACCCATAATGGACAGCAATTTTTTAGGCGTCTGGGCACCAGTGGCGTTTACTTCAACAAGATGTTTATTAGACATGCAGGTGGCCATTCAGAGCCGGCTTTCCACTTGGGATCTGCTAGGGGCTCCAGGGATAGCCTAAGGGATCTTCAGAACACCTAAATGATGATGCCCAGGACCGCAAGCCTGTAAGTCAAGCCTGTTGACCCACACAGCCTTTACCTGCTTCCATTGCTGTTTATGGCTTCATGAATCTTTTTCAGTGTATCTTAAACAACAGAATAGCGTGATTATTTTCAGGTTTGTTTGTCCCTTTGGGGCTAGAGTCTTGCATAGTCCTGACTGAATCTCACACTTGCAACCCATTCTTAATCTCCTGTGTTGGGATTGCTGGGACTGCAGGGGTGAAGTGAGCCCCCATCTTTAAGTTTTTAAATTTTACTTGTTCTTTCTCTTCCTTTCTCCTTCCTTCCATCCTTCCTTCCCTCCTTCCTCCTCACCCCCCTCCCTCTCTCCCCCTCTTTCCTTTGAGACAGGGTCTCACTATGTAGCTCTGGCTGTCGTAGAACTCACTTTGGCTGGCCTTGAACCTACATAGATCTTCCTGCCTCTGCCTCCTGAATGCTGGAATTAACAGTGTGCACCACCATGCCCAGCTCAAGGTTTGATTTTTTTTAATGTAATTTTTTTTCTGTCAATACAGGGTTTCTTTGTGTATCTTTGGAACCTGTCCTGGAACTCACTTTGTGGACCAGGATGGCCTTGAACTCACAGAGATCTGCCTGCCTCTGCTTTCCAAGTGCAGGGATTAAAGGTATGTACCATTACTGCCTGGCTATTAATATAAATTTTTATTTGTCATGTATGAGTGTTTAGCCTGCATGTATGTACGTGCACAGTATGTGTGTCTGGTGCCCAAGGAAGCTAGAAGAGAATGTCAGATCTCTTGGAACTAGGGTTATAGCTGGCTTCCAACCAACAAGGAACATTGGTGACTTCAGACACAAAGGGCTGTGGCACATGACCAGACAGAGGAACAGTAGCAGTGTGGGGTAAACGGTTTCCGATCATGATGACTAGGTCCCAGAAGTCACAGTGTCTGCGAAGGATCCTGTTGAGACAGGACACCCACAACCTATCACCCCACCCCGAGCTGGCCTCGAGACACTGCTTACTTCCTGGAGAGCAGACATTTTTGGGTTGAATTCAACGAACAGAGGATTTGAGAGTTTACAAGATATCAGAAGTTGACCACCCTCAGACCATTTGAGACCAACCCAAAATGACTCAAAATGTTCAGTCCATGAGGGTTGATGATAAAGACAACAGTCGTCCTCCTTTCGGCCTGGCCACTTGTGATGGGTGGGTCACGGTGCTCCCATATGGAATAATAGGGCACTAAAACAGGAGCGTGTAGAGTGTGCCGCCATTTGGTGGGAAAATGGTCCACACTTGAAAAGCCACAAGTGAGACGCATACAATAAACTTCCAATATGTTGAGAAGTCTGGTATCCCTAAGAAGTGTCAGGTATGGAAGTGAATGTTTTCTACAGCAAGATAACAAGTCAAGAAAATAACAAATCCACTCCCTAAAGTTGACTCTCCACTTTTCAGTTAGTAGAACATGTATTTTAAAAGATGTATCCATTTTTATTTTATGTGCATGAAATGTTTGTCTGCATGTGTGTATGTGCACCATGTGTGCAGTGCCCTTAGAGGCTAGAAGAAGGTGTCAAAGCCTACAAACCTAGCTACAGGTGATTGGAAGCCACTGCCGATGCTGGGAATCAAACCCTGGGCCTCTGGAGAAACAGCAGGCACTCTGCCCACTATGCCATTTCTCCAGCCACGGTTGGCAGAATAGTTTTTATTTTAATCTAGGGAGGTATGTTCTTGCCTGTTTGGGGCCATATATAGTATCATCCAACCCCTTATGTCTTTTGCATCATTGAAACTGTTGGCAGGCCTTGGACTCTGAACACCTAGAGAAAGCGGTGCCCATCAATCAGCCCTCTTACAACATCTGTGAGTGACTGGTTCCAAAACCTTGGACACTAAAATCTGTGGATGCTATCTTGGTATAAAATCTACATACTGCCTGTACCTGTCCTGCTGGGTCCTCATTTTTAGATTCCTAGTGATACTTAGTACAATACAATGACTTTGTAAGATGCTGTTGTGTGAATTGTTTAGGAAATAGGAAAAGAAACATTTATACATGCTCAGTATTGAAACTTCTTCAAATAAATATTTTTTAAATTATTATTATATTATTAGTGTGTGTGTGTGAGAGAGAGAGAGAGAGAGAGAGAGAGAGAGAGAGAGAGAGAGAGAGAGGACAACTTGTAGAAGTTGGATCTCTCCTTCCACCAAGCTGGTACTGAAGACAGAATTTAGGTTGTCCGACTTGATGGCAAGCACGTTTACATGCTTAGCTATCTTGCCAGCTGCTCCAACTATTACCAGTTCACAGTTGGCTGAATGTGGGTATGGGCCACTCGGGGGTAGGCAGTGCTGACTGTAAACCTTGCAAGCCTGGCTATGCTGGGATGTTCCCTGCAGGGCATCAGTGTCGGAAGCATTCAAGGTGTCAGGATTGGAGACTACAGAAAACAGGTGCTGTCAGTTGTAACCTCCTTGTAGAGCCATTGGGAAGAATGCATTTCCCCTGCGTATCAGAGGGCACAGGGCTCTGTCTGCTGCCTCTTCCAAGGTGAAAACCTTTCGGTTGAAGAATCTCTTCACTGAGATCTCAGAAGAAACTGCCTGGTTACACTGGTTTGCCCAACAGGTTTTCAGGTGGCGCGAACATCTACTTGTCCAAAACAGGGCCAGACAGGATCAGTCTCCATTGGTAGCATGGAGAACGTTCTGTGTAACGGACAGCAACATTCAGTCTGCGACGGGGCAGACCTTGGTTTTTGCCATTTATGAGACTGTTTCCTGCTTCCTGCCTTGTGGAAGTTCAGGCTTGTGTTCCTTTGTTTAGAAGACATATGGAAATAATCCCCTAGCCAAGGCACAGGATGCCATCTGGGGCTCTGCATTCTTGGGATTCACACAAGGAAGAAGAGTGTACCTGGGGTAGCCCTGCCCTCTCGCTCTGCTTCATGGGAGACATGAGTGACTTAAGGGGAATTTAATACCTATTTCGCAAACTTAAAAATTAGTTAGAAGCAAAGGAGGGATTTCAGACGGGGTCATTAGTTTCTGTTTGCAAAAGGAATTGATTGGGTCTTGGTTTCGCAGTTGAAAGTCAAACAGCAATTGAACAAACAAAAGGAAAACCAGCACCTTTGGTTCCCAGCAGCACTCACTGAGCGGACATACTGACACTGTGATTTTAATAACACGTCATTTACTTAAACCAAAATCAGTGTAACCTTTCAAAGAGTGGGTTCCAAAGATTTAAAAAAAAAAGTCATGTTCTCAACAAACTTTTTTTTTCAATTTCTTTAAAAAAAAAAAAACAACTAAATTATATTTTCCAGGAAAGGGGGTTTAGACTCTAACATGGAAACTGTTCACTTCATAACTCCTCCACCTCTTTTTCACCTCCTCCTTCATCTCTTTCTTCCTTCTCCCTCTCATCCTCCTCCTCTTCCTCCACTTTCACTTTCTTATCCTTCATTTTTCTAGGCAGGGTCTCTCCACGTAGCCCAGACACTAGACTTGAATTCTTGATCCTCCTGCCTTAGCTGGAGTTCGTTAACTTCAGATTCTTACCTTCAAAAGCGAACTCAGTTTGGGAGATTGATTGAAATGCTGTAGAGCCTGGGTAAGATAAAACTGAGCGGCGAAAAGGCAAGAAATGTGCTCAGGTTAAATGAGCAGTGTGCGCATGTCCAGTCATGAGGTCTTCGTGGCTCTCAGGGATTCGGTAAGGTGACCATTTTGTTTCTCAGGTTCAACACATCTTGTGTTATTTGGGGACTGGCACAGATCTTGCTTATGGACAAAGTCAGAAAAGACGCCTGTCTGTCTACTCTTTTCCAACTCTGTTGCATGTAGGTGAAGGGGTTTTGCCAAGAATGTGGAGGAAGCTAGGAAGGTGGCACTGAGGACACAGCGGCCAGACTCTTTCAGACCACTGATGAGCGCAAGTCCACTTTGGAAGCATAAAACCCAGATGAAAATGCCAAGTGGCCATTAATTAGCCTACGTGAACTAGGGGAAGAAGCAGAGGTGGTATTGGAGACACTGAACACAGGCCTGCATCTGAGAGCCCAGCCCATCCTTTAGTAATTGTGCTGCCGTGTCTAGTAAGTAAACTGTGAGCAAAAATGTCTTTCCTCTGCTTTTTCTCTCCCCTCTCCTTTCTTCCCAGTACCGGAGATGAGATCCAGGGCCTCACACATGCTAAACAAACCCGGTCACTGACATACACAGTTTTGATTACTGTGAGGGTGGGATACAAACAACGGAGTCCAACTCTGTGTGGGAAACACAACACTGGGGGGCATGTATGCAGAGAATCCAAAGTGGTTAAAATATATACGCGCGAGGGGCTCAGAGCATCACTCATAATCTGTACCTGTCAGCATAACGCAGTGGCAGGGGCACCTGAATCAACACGCCAAGCATCTGTGATTATCGGGATAGAAGACTTCAGTTTTGAAATCCTGGAGATGGGAGCTCCCACAGCCTGTGTGGCAGGGGAAGGAGCACGGGGTGTCATCACAATGACTTGAGAAAGACGACGTGCCTCTTAGTCACCTGCTGCCGAGCGGTGGTGGTGCAGGCCTTTAATCCCAGCACTCAGGAGGCAGAGGCAGGCGGATCTCTGAGAGTTCGAGGCCAGCCTGGTCTACAAGAGCTAGTTCCAGGACAGGAACCAAAAATCTACAGAGAAACCCTGTCTCGAAAAATTAAAAAAAAAAAAAAAAAAAAAAAACCCACACAAGCCTGAAAGCGGTGCATTGATTATTTTATTAATTCCTTCTTTTTACATTATGGGAAACATTCATGTATTTACAGATTGTTGGGTTTTTTTTTATTTGTCCACACACAATCTAGGTAAATAAGCCTATGAAATTCCAATTCAGAAAGCCATAAAAATCTTTCCCACCCCTCCATCTGAAGGCTTTCAAATGAATCTTTTTTTTCCCCAAACCAAAATAATTTTTAAAAATTACATTAGGGAATTCAGATATGCTAATGATTTACATCCAGTTATTTAAAATATGCATCTAGACATGTTCTTAAAAAAAGAAACGGTAAATTCACAAGGATAAGGCTTAAATGAAAGCATACTGCACAGGAAAACATTAAGGGAACATCTATAAATAACAGAAATATATTACAAATAAATTAGCTCTATTTACCATTTCAAATATTAAAAATCTTTAATCCATTTCTTCATCTCTCTTTACAAAAAGGTTATGTGAATTGTATGGAAACATCTGCAAAAAATATAATAAATACTTAATTTCTTTGAACGTATTTTTTTTGTTTTGTTTTTGATGAGGGAGAAAAATTTCTTTTGTAATCACCCCCCACCCGCCCCAAGAAAATGCCCAACACCTTTATACCAAAGTTAAACAAAATAAGTAATTTTTCAGGGTACATCCGCTGTTCATTATGAACTAAAAAACATCTCTACAAATTACATCAAAAAGAATATTGCAACAGAGGTGATGCTCACAAGATGTCAGTTTCCGGGTCCAGTGGATAACAAGCTGTATTGTGTGGGGGTCAGGTCCTAATGTCAATAATTAGCTTTTTTTTTTTTTTTATAAAGTGTTTGTACAGATTAAACTGTGTTTTTCAGGAAGGCAAAGGTTGTGATGCCCTGCAGGCGTTCAGCTAAAAGATTTAAAATTCTTACCAAAAAATAGCTTATGAATATACAAAAGCCACTCACTTAGACAAGATAGCTAGGCCTTCTCTCGTCCCTCTTTAAAACAGCCTGGGCCAAATCAGTTTCCAAAGAAAACCCTGCAGGAGTATCTGGGAATCACGTTAGAACCTGAACTCTATCTACCTCAGGGCAGGGAGCTGTAGTCCTGACAGTGGGTCTAGAATGGCTGCTTCCGGTGAATTCCAGTCTTTCTCCGGGGAGTGTGACCACGGGCTACCCAAGGTGACAGTTGGCCTTACTCCTGCGCACTTCCCATGGTATGTAAAGAGAAAGTGTCTTTTTTTTTTTTTTTTTTTTTTAACTAGCAAATTCTTGAACCCTACGGATCTCTGCTCCAGTTGAGAAAGCGCTGACTTTGTCTGCCATAGTTAAAAGTTGTTCTGTTGTTGTTTTTGTTAATAAGTTAGTAGCCCTTTTCTTGTAAACCACAGCAGGGAGCGAACATTTGTGCCCTGTTAGTAAAGGCAGCTCAGAGCACCAAGGGCTCTGAGAGGTAGCGAATCCTCTAGTGGTTTTAAGAGTGTGTCTGAAAATAGTGCTTGCCAGACCCACCGCTTCTCTGAAGTTTGTAAAGAAAATTAAATTAGCACCTGGCTATGAGAGTGTATGTTTTTTAAGCGTCTCTGGTGCAAGCGTTTTGTTTGTTTCTTTTAAGACTTCCATTTTTTCCAATGGCAAAATTTCTAATTCTTTAGGTTGCAAGCTTGACATACATAGTATGTGGCTGACCCTTTCAGATCGCCACATTCTGAATGTTTAAACGGCTACAAGTAAGGGCGTTTGAAGACGTCAGCAGGAGGCCAGTGCTCACAGCCATCCACCACGACTAACCTGCAAGCCAAGAGAAAGTCTGGAATCCAACCCAAAGCACGGATTTGTCTATCAGCGTTTACGAGCGCCGACTTCCCTTGCTCCTTACAGCTCTTGGTCCCTGCGCATCGAAAGACTTCTCTCTACCTGGAACTTCGGGATCATGATGGTTGTAGCTCTTTGGAATGGGGCGGCATGGCAACTGGGGTAGACAACCTTTTTAAGTTTATTCATTTGCTAGAGGAGGAAACCCTGTGCTGGGAACACGTGAACCCTGTACGGGAGCGAGGGGAGAGCCCCGAAATATGACGCGCTGGGCTAAACTAGACAGATATGTATGTAGCCTTCGAAGGGGTGGCAGGGAACCGGAACTCTTCTCTGGAAATGACCTGGCCGTCTTTTGGAAGCAGAAGTGTTCTTACGTGTGTGTGTGTGTGTGTGTGTGTGTGTGTGTGTGTGTGTGTGTGAAATCTTAAGTGAGCCCACGCGGATGGACGCTAAACTACCTGAACCAACTCTTTCTCCCCCTCCCCCCCCATTTAAAAAACCACGGCCATGACATTATAATACACAGAGTACAAGAAAAGTTGAGAAAACATTTCAGGTCTAAATTTTCTTAATAATAAGAGAAATAAATAGATTCCTTATATAGGATCTTAAACCTTCCTTTGCCTTAACTTTCTTCATTTTATTGCCTTTCAGAATAATTTCCCTGAAAGATTGAATTTACAATCTTCTGCTGATTGAAACGTCTGAAGCGGTTTGAATGAAGTACCAGAGAGGCAGTTTGTACAGCTGCAAAGGTACACACTTTACCCTTCTCTAACACCCAGGCCCCCAACCCCAGGTCAGCTTTGGTCCCTCTCTCTCGGTCACCATGGGTTCCGACAAGACGGTGTGATTTCTGATGTTAGAAATAAAGCGCTCTGCCTGCTTGTAAAAATAACTGTTTGGGGGGGGGGCAAATAAAGGGACGCGAGCCCTCGTTTCTTTCACGTGGAAGACGGTTAAGTCTCAGAGGATCACCCTGTGTGATACCGGGTTTCTGAAATACCCTATGGTTTTATATTGCTGAGTTCTAGGGACACACTAGTTTGAAAGAACTGAGGAAGGTGAGTGACCTACAAGGTGTCCTTTTCTACACAGGTGGCTTTGCTTGTTCCAGAAAAGAAAGGGTTTGGATGTCTGCACGAGGCTTCAGGACAGGGGCGCGAAGCTCGGTGGAGAAGATGGGCCAAGCGGTCCAGGAAGCGGGGCGCCAGGACGGTGGCGGTCACTGAGCTCAGAGACGGAGAGGGGAACGGGGAGGCGGCCGAGGGCAGGGCGGCGGGAAGGTCCTCTGCGGCGCTCAGAGCCGGGTCTGCGCCTCGGGGATGTAGATCTCGATGCTCTCCGCGCTCTCGGTGGCCGAGTTCTGGCGGACCGACGCGGCGCGCTTGGCAGCCATCAGGCGCTTGCGGGCCTCCTGGCGCTGCGAGCTCTCCAGCGAGCGCTCCCGGATCAGCGGCGCGGGGCCCTTCGCCGGCTTCTTTGGCACTGGAGGAGGGGCCCTTCGCTCCTGATCAAAGCAGAAGGTTCAGGACATTACACAGCTTCTCAGGACAAGCTTGGGAAAGACTGGGATAGGTCAGTAGTTCGAAAACACACACACTTCTTTTCTTTTTTTTAAACCTAAGGGCGGTTAGTTCTGATCTGCACACTGTATATATGATTTCTCTTCATTGCTCTGGCTTGGATATTCAAAAGATGCGGGAAAACAAAACAAAACAACAACAACAATAACAACACATAATCTCTTACACTTAAGGTCGAGGGGAAAACTGCAGCGCAGAACTAGTAGGCCTTTCCACGGCAGGGTGTGGGCATTTAAAATGCAGCCCTGCAAGGGGCTCCGTGCACCTCACAGTGAGGGTGGCTCTGTCTGCAACCCCCAGACTCTTCCTGGCGCTAGCAGTGGGTCAGGAGATCTCAACAGCTACAGAATGAATTAGAACTATAAGCTGTATCTTTATGAGGAGCGTCAGGTAGGAGAACCTGGGTTCAAGAAAAAGCCCCCGTCTCTCTCTCTCTCTCTCTCTCTCTCTCTCTCTCTCTCTCTCTCTCTCTCTCTCTCTCTCTCTCTCTCGCCTTCTCCCTCCGCCTCCCCAGCCTTCCCTTCCATCCCTTCCTATTATAAGATAGTGTTTTTAGGCTTCAATGGTGCCATCGGGAGTTACACCCTTTTTGCACAACACACAGCCATAGATTGTACAGGGTCACAGGGTTATGGGGTGAACGACTGGTATTTCCTACTCTGGGGAGGATTTTTCCAGGACAGCGGTCCCTAGGGGTTTCAGCATGCTTGTGGTAGCCCAGAAGACAATCCCAACTTGTTATCAAAGTTGAGCACAGGACTGGAAAAGGCCATGTCTCTTATCAGCAAACTCTGAAATGGTATTTGATCTTTTCTAATCTACTGCAAAATCCAGCCACTCGTGCCTTCATGATAACCGTACAAGGGGAAGGAAAGGCATCTGAACCACAAAGGGTGCTTTTAAGGAGAGAGATGTTGACCTTTTGGGCTCTGCAACAGTCCACAGCAACCCCACATTTCCACTTAAATAAAACACCCTGCATCCTTATGAAATCAAACGTGAGGTTTATCATGAAGGTACCGAGTATCTGACTTAACACTGATGCTCAGTACAGCGGGTCCTCCTTGCTTGCCTCCTTACTTGCAGAGCTCAGTATCATCACACCGGGCTTTGGCCCGTGCTTGTTTAAAGTGGACTGTGTTGCTGACGGACAAAAAGGGAGAAGGCAGAGTACAGTCTCCCACCACCACCTCTGTCTCTTCATCTTTTGTTTCCCTGTCAGGTTCATGAGAAGATGAAAGGCTCTGATCATAGGCAAAATGCATTGTTAAAAACTTAAAAAAATAAGCTAATAATTTATTATTAGGTTACATACCAATAAACCACATGTAACGATTTCTTTGCATCACTTCTTCGGGGCATTTGTAATCTTCGTTGTGGGATAACTGGTGGATATTTTTAAAAGTATGAATATTGGAAGCTTTTTAGTCATTTTTCTTTCTTTGCACACTTTATTTTTTTTCAAAACAATAATATTAAAGAATCAGTAGGTGAGAAGTTAGATGGAGCATTACTAAATTCCAGCGTGTGTACACGTGTGTATTCTTTTAAGACCAGTTGGTCAGCAGACAGTTTCACACATAAAGAAAACTAGATGAAGCACAACGTTTGGCTTCTCAAAGCAGAGGCCACACACACATCGATAGTACTTCAAGCTTGGTTCTAATCCCCCCAGTTGAATGGCCATAGAACTAGAGATGGTGGATAGTGGTGACAACGTTGCCCTCCTTTGGGGCTGGGTTTGTCCTGGGTGCCCACTGACCCCCATACACCCAGAGATGATGGGCAACAGTGGATTGCTGTTAGTTCTTGATGGGTCAGGAGACCCCAAAAGGGCAGGGCTCTCACTGCTCTGAGCAAATAACCAGCCTTCATTTTCAGGGGTATCTCTTGGAACTATTTGACCTCGGTTCATAGAAGAACAAAAGTTATTTAAAAAAAAAAAAAGAAAGAAAAAAGACAAACCTCATACAGGACAGATCAGCCTGGAAAGACAGACGTGAGATACTTGTAGAGTAATCAAATATGAAATTATTATTGATTAATTAAAATAACAAGCCTTTATTTCTAAACTGTGGCGTGAAGATTCCCAGGGAACAATACTGCCCCAGGCAAATCAATCAAAGTCAGGAAAAAAATCCCAACACTTAAGATGACTCCCAGTCTCACAGGGAGCATTTAGACTGGGGCGCCAGTGACTTCTTCGTTACTGTGCTTGTGAGACAGACGACTATCAGCCAGTTAGTGCTCAGAAACACGTCCTGAGCGTGGAACTGGACTCTAGGGAACCACACACGAGGTCACTGATTTTGGTTTAGAGAGCAAAACTGGAGGCGGTTCCTTCCAGTGTCTAAGGGGGTTTAACTTAAAGTTGAATTAGTGAGAGAAGACAAAGAAAGAAAAAAGAAAGAAGGACAGGAAAAAGGAAAAGGAGAAAGAAAAGCCACATTCCCACTTTCCAATTCACAAAGACAGGTTTTCCTTCAAAAGTATGCCTGAAACACATTACAGATGATACCCCAAGTGGTTAGTATGTAAACATTGCCATTCCAATGACATGGACACGATGCCAGCTCCATTTCACATGGTGAACAGCAAGGCTGAGTGCAGAACAGAAGCCTACTTAGACTGTCCAGGGTTTGTGCAGCTTTTTAAATGGACCGTACAAAATCTACATTGTTCTACCTTCTTGTCAAGAGGATCCATCTGTTTCCAGTTATTGGCCTTTAACTGATGAAGTTCGTCAAATTTCATACTAATATTTTCTATGGACAACTGCAGCATGTCCCAAAACCCCGCCAAATCCTGGGAAGTGGGTCTTGGATGCGCATTGGGATTCTGTGCAAAAAGAGAGAAAAATATGGATGATTTAGAGGCAGTGGGACGGCAAACAGGGGCCACAAACGCATTTTCAAACATTTCAAAGAACCCAAGGAGGCCGAGTTCCTTTTGGCTTTCAGATAAGAGATAACAATGAGGCAACCAATGGTGATTTTCTACAGGCCCCCATCCCAGTCCCTGATTTTCAAATGTCAAGGCTGTAAAATTCCTCCTCCTTACAACAGCATGGTTGTTTCAGTCTGATAAGCGGGGAGAGTCTAAACATCTGAAACAAAAACATCCCAGAATGCGTTGTCTCTTCCTGGATACATTTTTAAACAATAGATTCAAATAAAAATACTACCTTGAAAATAAAATCATGTGTGATTTCATGCTACACTGTTTATCCAAAGAACAGAGGAGAATTCTAGAATGAGATTAGTTTTAGCACTCATGATGAGTAAAATATTAGGTACAGAATTAATAAGCAACAAGGAATTTTTTAGGTACTTGGTTCTCGAGGCTTCTCTGATACCCAGAATTTGTATATTTGAAGCAAATGGTCAACCGTTGTTGGGAGCAGTGAGACCCCAGATCCTGAATTTCTTGTTTTCCCCTGATCTGAGTGCCTACAGCTGCTCTGAGCATGAGACCTTCAGGAGTTCCTGATTACAGGAGAGTGGTTTCTGATGGGTTTGGCTGGGGTGTGGCTATCTCTATATAATCTGCCCCTGAACACAATAAAGGGGGCATTCTTGGGGAATTCAAGGATGACCCGTGTCGCTGTCTCTCTGTCTGTGTGTGTCTGTGTATTTTAACCTCCAACCCCCTTGCCTGAAGCTCGAGAACTGGGTAACAGCACACAGAGCGCAGACACGGGGGTGCGGTGTGCGGCAAACCTTGGATATCCATAGGTAGTCTTTGAAATAGATATGTGTTCAGTAATTGAGATGTTACTGGTATATATAATAAAGAATCATTTTATCACATGACACATTGGAAGGTAGCTAGTTTTAAATATAGCAAATGTCAGAAAACTTTATCTTTACACATACGTATGCATGCTGATAATAATTCCCTTTTCAGGATCACAAATATCCTTCAGTGTTTAAGAACTGACGTTTTTGCCAGCCAGTAGTGGTGACTGCCTTTAAACCCAGCACTTAGGAGGCAGAGGCAGGTGGGTCTTTGAGTAACAAGGCCAGCCTGGTCTATAGAGTGAGTTCCAGGAGAGCCAGGGCTAAACAGATGAACACTGTCTCGAAAAACCAAACCACTACCAACAAAAAGTTTTTTTTATAAAGAATAATTCAAAACTTTTATTGTTGTCATTAGGGCATAGCGATACACTCCTTTAATCCCAGCACTTGGGAGGCAGAGGCAGGTGGATCTCATAGGAATTCAAGACCTGCCTCGTCCACACAGTGAGTTCCAGGATACCCAGAGCTAGAGAGTGAGACTCAGTCTGGAAAAAAAACTCAAAAAACAAAACTAACAAACCAACAAAAATTATTATTATCAAGAATACATGCATACATGCGTGAGTGTGCACATGTGTGTGTCTGTGTGTGTGGTGTGTATGCTACAACAAGCGTGGTGGAGGTCAGAGGACAATATGCATGTACAATTGCCAAGCACCTAAAAACTCCATAATTTGAGTTGTTTCAGAACCGGCAATATTATAATCTATCCCAGGGACGAGAGTGAGTGTTGCTTAGCAGTACATGCTCAAGACCCTGGGCTCAGTCTTCAGCACCTAGCCAGAACAAAGCAAAATAAAATAAACACAACTTAGTCTACCACTAAGTAAGCTGGAGCAAGAACTCTCAAGTTTGAGGCTTATACTGCAAGCAACAAAAGACCAAAAGGGCCAGACAGACAAACAACCCCTCAACACGCAGAACGGAAAAGCAGACTGAGAAAGCTCGTCTCACTACTTCACGTTTTCACAATTAGTCAGCCTTATCCACAATGGGAAACTAAACAGTTAATATTTTGGAATGCAGTGACATTTTCTGGGTCATGAGTTTTACTATTGTATTGTTTTAGCACCAATGAGAGAAATAATACAGATTGAGTTTCTTATCTGGCACCCTTGGGACCAGATGTCGAGATGCTAGAGTTCATAGGATCTGGATGTTTTCCTGTCCACAGTGAGATATTTTGGAGACAGAATACAAGTCTTAATGTGAAATGCATGTATATGTCACAGACACCTTGTACACGCAGTCTGAAGGTTGTTATACATATTTTTAATGTACCTATATTGACTGTGAAGGTTATTATATATATTTTCAATGTACCTGTATCGACTGTGACATGTTGTATGAGGTCAGATGTATACAGTATCAATGCCTTGGTGTGCCCAAAGTTTTAGATTTTACAGAATTTCTGATTTTAGATTTCTTGGGTTTGGGCATAGTCAACCTCCAGTTCAGTAGCTTCTAGAATAGTTCCTTAGCTGTGCTAAAATCAGTATCGTGGGCAACTCCGTCTTCCCCCCCAAAGGAATCTCTTTGCCCCGTGTTCTCAAACAGACAAATGAGAAAAGAGAGCGTGTAAGCGGTAGCCACTCTCTAACTCAGCAGTCGTGAGTCATGTGACAGGGTAGTTGAGTCTAGACAGACCATCTCTGAGATCAGAGGGACAGTCGGGGGTGGCCCCCTGGTCTAGTGTGGCTGGGATAAAACAAACTTCTTCCGTTCACTTTAAGCTTGAGAATCTAGTTGGGAATAAATACGTTTTCAAACTATCTTCTTTTTTTTTTTTTTCCTCCTCAAAGGAAGAGGAAGTAAAGAAAGAAAAGCTGCACCTGGTTCTGACCAACCCTACAGTCACTTTAAAACACACACACACACACACACACACACACACATTTATTTAACGTGTGTGTGCTGGAGGCAGTGCCCGGGCAAGCAGGTGGAGGTCAGAGGACAGCTTGTAGGAGCTGGTTCTCTCTTTCCATCTTATCTGACCTGGGATCAAACTTGGGTCATCAGACTTGGCAGCCAGCCCCTTTGCCTACTGAGCCATCTTGCTGCCCCTTAGAGTCCCTTTCATACAGATGTGGTGCTAAGAGGAACTACCACCAGGTCATATTTACTTCCTGGGATGGCTTCGCTCTGCAAAGGTAAGGGATGGAGCTCAAATCCTGCCTGGGATTTATGGGGGACAGTCTGGAGAGATCAGGGTTTGATTCTTGGGTCTGATTTTACTGTGGGCTGGTAGCTAAGTTTCTTAACTTTTGTGCCTGTCGATCCCATCTGTAAGTCATAAAGACAACGCCACTAGGAACTCCAAATGGCCATTCTGCGTAGTTACCCAGGCATCCGACACATTTGGTGCTGGACCTGCTCTTCAGAGGCCTGCTGTGAGCAGTACAATGACCTTCCTCTGCTGGTGTGGCATTACCATAAATAGGGATTTCTCTAGTGGGTATAGGAGCCGCTATAAGGAATGGCAAGACATCAAAAGCTGGCGTTCATGAACTTGACAATTTCTAGAAATCAGTACACATTTTTTAAAAAAAAAGTACCTGTAATTTCATCTTTAAAATGTGCATGAGATTTATGTTCTCCTTTGTAGTACACTTGCCCATCAATTCTGTTTTCACACTTATTCAGTATGAGTGTGGGGTAAGTGAGGGTGGGTCTGGTGCACATGCCACCATGTGTGTGTGTCTGTGTGTGTATATAAGAATGGGAGCTGGTCCTTTCGTGAGTCCACCATGTGAGCTCTGGAGATTGAACACCAGGCTTCTCAGCAAGCCCCTTGACCCAGAAGCCATCTTGCCAGCCCTGGACTAGATTCCTTTGAGGAATCGCAGTGCCTAGGACACAGAATCCACATTTTGTCATACCCTCAACCTCTGGCCTTTGGGTTAGAGCAAAACTGATCAGGAGACACTGAAGGCTGTTTTAGAGAGAGAAATCTTTGTTTGGAAAGTACTTAGGAAACATCAATTGCTCCAAATTTTACTAAGAATAAGAAAACCAAAAGCAACATACAAAATCTAGGAACATGAAAAGTTTTCAATATAAAAAAAAAAAAAATCAGGGGCTGGAGAAATGGCTCAGTGGTTAAGAGCATGGCCTGCTATGCCAGAGGTCCTGAGTTCAATTCCCAGCAACCACATGGTGGCTTACAACCATCTGTAATGAGGTCTGGTGCCCTCTTCTGGCCTGTAGGCATATACACAGAATATTCTATACATAATAAATA